CACTGCACGCGAACGCATGGGTGATCAGCCACACGAATTGTCGTTACCCCCCCCCAACCCCTTGAGATGCGTGGCCATTAAAAGGCTGCCCCCCCCTTTCCCACATTGAATGGTTCGCATAAATTAGAGCGTGGGAAAAGTTTGCTGTGTGACGACACCCCTTTTAAGACAGGTCCGTGGATTTGCTTTATTTTTTTGCTTCATGCAGAGGCTAGAGGCGTGGGTCGCCCGTGTTTGCTCCAGAGGGGAGGGGAGCGCATTGTCAAACATAACAATCACCCTTGCTGCCCCAATTAACGGAATGAAAGAACGAAAGTTGACAAAGCTCATGAAAAAATATTTCTGGAGGTTGTGCCGTCCGACATCGAGCTCTGAATTAAGTACAGTATTATAAATAACGACGATGATGATAATGATGACGATAGTGGCGATAGTGGTAATGTAAGTGGTAATAGTCATTTTCGTGAACAGTGAAGAGTGTGATGATTGTTGTGATAGTAATGGTAGTTTTGATGATGGAACATTTTTTGTTAAATATATCCTTGACCATCATATCTCAAGGAAAATAAGCTACAATATGATAGCAGAATGCTCACAATGGCAAATTAGTTGAGAATAGAATATGATGAAACCAGCACACGATGACCGACTCTTGGCAATGAGTCAGCTTGCCAGACTACACGTGAAGGAATTTAACACAAAAACTGCCAGACAGCTGTTGGGAAAACTGCACAAGGTGGCTTGATCATTAGCTGAAAACCGGCCCACCTGACCACGAACCTCTCCATGCCATTCACAGACTCACACAGACATCCGTAGACTCACACAGAGACCCGCAGACTCACACAGACATGCATAGACTCGCACAGAGACTCGCAGACTCACACATACATTCGTAGACTAGCACAGAGACCAGAAGACTCACACAGATATTCATAGGCTCGCATAGAAACCCGCAGACTCACACAGACATCCGTAGACTAGCACCAAGATTGGGCATCCAATCACTACGATGTAATGAAGAGGGTTCGATCATATAAATGGAAGTTGTCTGACTTTCCCTGGCTGCAAGATTGCCATGAAACGGCAGCAGAGAGAAGGATTCTTAAAACTACCTTTGTGGAACCTGGTTGTGACCACGTCATGTGGTTGGGTTTTATCCTGGTAAACTTATTTTTCCACAGGTCAAACATGAATCAATATTGAATTGAACAAATATTAGAATATAATACACTCCTGAAAAAGTCTGCAGAGTGAGCGAGGCTATCCTAGGTAAATAAAGGATGATATTATTATACTTGTAATGTTTCCCTATGAATAACAACGTATCCTACTCGCAATGAGGTTAAGAATGCATTCCTCCTGAATATATTCCTTAATACATTTAGCATGGACTCAATAGATCTTCATTCAAAATTAAGACACCCCTGACGGTATGGCATTCAATTATAGACAGTAATAATCATGACACCACGCTGTAAAAATAGTGCATACCTTTACAGCACATGACGCCATTGGTAGACGCTAAGAGAAAGAAATACCGTATGGGAGATGGGGAAGTTGCTCAACTCACACCAGGACAATTTGATCGGAACAAGTCGAGTGAATTACTTTTTCTCCGGAACATGTTCCGCGTGCCAAACCCGCTGATTTTGCTACAAGAGGGATCATTTGAAAACTCATGGAAAGAGCTGTCAAAATTTTGGGTGGCTTGTTTGAGTTTGTTAAATATCAAGGTCACATCAAGCGACCTCTTGTGTGTAAGAGGCGTTTTCTTGTTGTGTTGATTTCGCATGGAACAACCTAACCTGTCCTTATTTTTAGCTGTGTGTTTTGCGGAGACACTGGACCATAGCTCTGCCATGCAGCGGTCGAAGCTGAATTCACGAGCCAGTTTACTACCTGGCGCAGATCTTGACGGAGGCATTCTCCCACACTCTCTGTCAGGTTACATCTCTCTCTGTCTCTCTAACTCCCCTCCACGTGGTCTCCGCTCCAGCGACCTGGGCTTACCGTTACAACCACCCAGTCAACCGCCCCTAAACTCTGTTGGTCATGTGGGTGGTTTGACCATAATGGTAAGGGGGTCCAGAACCGGTTGAGGAAAAACTCACGAGCAATGTTAACCATGGCTGGAAATCAAACTCAGGTCACTGGGTTCATATCGCAGTACAATAACCACTGGGCAACCACTCCAACCAAAATAATAATGCTAATGGTGTGCCAGGAACGCTTTAAAGAGTCTGAAGACACAGTTACAGGAGGGTCCTGCATTGGGACATTCGGCCAATTCCATTAATGAGTGTTTTGACTTGTGGAAGAAAACTGAAGCAACTGAATAAATCCTACCGAGGTAACACTCAACACTTCCATCTCGTGGTCACACCTCGGGCCCCCGTGCCTCCAACACTTGGCAAGCTATAATGGTCACCCATCCAAGTACTAGCCAGGCTTAACGCCGCTTTGCGTCTGAGAGTTGACGAAATCGAGTGCATTTATGGTGATTTTGCCACAGGATTGTAAAATAAAATAAACCAAATGTGTTAGTGACCAACGTATTAAAATCAGAATCTGTTTTTAGACTGGAAGAATCCGATGAGCCATGAAGCTCTTTTTCACAGATGTCCAGTCGACATCGTAATGAACGTAATCAGCTCTCAGCTAGGTGATAACCACCCCCACTCCCACTCGCGCAGATAAGAGCCTACGGGGGGGGAGGGCGGGACAATAACGGTGATCTTGGTATTTAGCTCAAAATTACAGCAAAGAGCTTAACTGGTAGTGCCGGTACATCCTGAGCTTGTGTATCTGCAGCTGTGGCGCTGAGAGCGCCAGGCTAAACGTAAACACACCTCTGGGTTGTCACGCCCAGGTTCAAAAAGTAGAAACATGTCAGATGCTTACAACTGGGAAATCACTGCGCAATAATGGACGTGAAATGATTCATCGATTAACATTGATTTGTAAACTCTTTATACACAGGCATCTATCTAACTGTGCATGAAAACTGATTAATGACTAATTGTCATTTGCAAATGATGAGTAATTTTAGGTGAATGGAACGAATTAGAGAGTATAAATATGACCAAAAAAACGACGAATTATAAAGACGCCAGCATTACAAATGACAAAATAAAAGTATTATTGATTGAAATTGTGACCTCGAATAGTGATCCAAACGTTGTAACAACTGAACGAATCTCAGGAGTGGAGAATCTCCACATGGCTGGGCAACAATATTATGCTTAGGAATAAAAAATATTGACAATGGAAATTAATTTAAAAAGTATTATACTCATGTTATTGTATAGGTTATCCATGTGATTTGACAACTAAATCAGAGGTTGCAATCGTTAGATGCCTAAGCAACAACATTAAGAGTTAGCGAGACAATAATGGTGAGTTACGTGTACTCCAAAACTGTTTGTTTTAAGAATAAACGTCTTCGCGTTAGGTAGCGAATAAATACATTAATCAAATAATTTGACAAAAAAGCATCTTGAAGTGTTCATTAAATGACAAAACTTACCTCTCTTACGTCTACGACTCCACATCTGCCGGAACATGATTGCCAGCTGAAGGATTAATCAGTGGCTACAACTAGCGGCTCGCAGCAGCAAACCTTTCTAAATTTTCACGGCAAAGTCCAGCGACACAGCCGCACAGCGACAACAACAACACCCGACTCAAATACGGAATCACGATATTTATTTATACTGGGGGAATCCGATGAGCTATGAAGCTCTTTTTCCACAGATGTCCAGTAGGTCACAGATGTTCAGTAGGATGTCCATTACATCCCGCCGACTCCAACGCAGGAAGGAAGGGGGAGGCAAACACACGTGCGATGGCCACACCGCGTTGTTTTATACAAAGACGTGGCGTCGCCTCCCGCACGTGAGATCAAGTCGCAACTCGCAGAGCCGCGTCACGCTGGCGGGCAGCACTCATTAATGCAGCGAGTGGCGACGCTCGCATTAATTGGATTTTCGTGGGTGGGTCACGCGAGTCTGGGTGTGTCCACTTAGTCGCCCGCACAAAGTCGTTCGGTCGAGCGGGCGAGCATGCGTGGCTTTAAACGTTGTGGTTGTCGTTGTTGAAGAAATACTCGGCCCCGAGTGTTAGATATGAATGGGGCAGTGAGGAAGTAGTGTATGCTCACTCCACCACAAACAGCTGTCTCTGCACTGCCGAAGCTGCTGATAACAGGCAAGTGCAAACAGCGATCTGAAATCCCATGGCACCTATTACCAGTGATATAATGATTAACCCCCTCCACTGATTCTATGAATTGCTATGATTTGTCATGAATAAATTATTTATTGCCATTGTGACGCATGTAGACTCCGTAGTGGCTATACAGTTTCCAAGAAACATAGAAATAACAATTGATTCTTTCACGCAGTTAGAGTCATGTATCTTGTAAGTAATAATCAATAATTATTTTTATATATTTTTCCACAATTCTATCCAAAGCATCAGATATAATTGATTAATCATAACATCCTTAACAGATTATACAACACAAGTCACCACCATCCAAGACAACCAGGCATGGCACTACTCATCATTCTCAATTGTCTCATCTCTGCTTCCATTGTTCCACTTTGGATTGTTTCATAACTGCACTGCCCTCACATCTCTGATTTTCAGCGATGTTCTCATGAATTCCAGTTGTGTTCTTGTCGTGTTCTTTAACAAACAAGCTGCTGCTTCAATAATAACACAAGGACACGTGGTGACTATCTGTGTCACGTACCAGGCTTGTAGCGCATTGCACTATGATCCCAGCGATCTGATTTAGATTTTCAGCAATGGCCAACATCAACGGCGAGTGATATTGCGAACTGGTTGTGGACTTCCCTCTCTTTATCCGGCAACCAGCACTGACCAGCGTGAAGTGCGGTCAACCAACCTCGGCGACCAAAACACAACATGAAGAGCCCTTGATCCAGCAGTGGATTGATAAAGGGATGTAAGTGAAAAGTGAGAGTTGTTACCAGGTTTGAGCAGCTTGAGCTGCACGGGACTGGGGCTGGCGGCGATGAGAGCGTTGACGTCGCGTGACGTGAGCCCAGCGACGGGCGCTCCATTCACCTCCAGCAGCAGGTCACCGGCCTGCAGCTTTCCGGCCAGAACTCGCACCTGGAATGAACGCAAAGCAGGAACTTCAGCCGCCAAATATGAACAAGTCTCTGGTCAAATGAGTGTCAGGACAGTGCTCATGTAGTAGGCATGCGATGAACAGGCCTGTCACATACTCTTAGGTTTTTTTGGTAAAGTCACGTAGGTAAAAAATAATAATAAAATAAAATAATAATAAATGAAAATAACTCAATTAAATCACGACGTTTCGGAGGCAACACAAGTCTCCGTCTGCAGGTGGGACCGTCACAGCTAGATTTACTGTATCAAGTGAAGAGAAATCCAAGAGACTTGTAGGTGTTTGAGCTTGTGCTGTAAAGCCCTATGGTGGTCGTGTCGCGTTTTGCTTAACATTTTGCTCCATGTGCTTGGGGGCTTCTTCGGGAAGTGAATTCAGTTTCGTAAACAACTAAACTCAGATCCTGAAAAATTACCCAGGCATGTGAAACATTCAGTTCCTGCAGTTCCCAACACGTGCGACACTGTCTGCGCACCCACGAGCGTCAGGCTCAGGGCCCCCTCGGCAGGCAGCCTCACCTGCTGCTCGTCCACCGCTGTGGCCAGGTACGGGAACTGCGCCACCTCTGCACCGCCGAGCAGGGATAGGGCCGGCACAAGCCTCGCGCCACTCGGAGTGGCGGTGACGCTCAGCACGGCCTCGCGCAGCCGCCCGCTCCAGTGATTCCTCTTCCTCAGCGCCTTGGACATTCTCATGGGGTGGCCGGGCCCACGTTGGCCTGCGCACGGCGGGCAACACGGGGCGGATGAGTCACCGACGAACACAAGACGGGTGTTGTAGGTTGCTCGCGGCCAGCAGAAGATGGTGTGTGCAAAATCCAACGTCGTAACGTGTTATGCTCCGTCTTCACAAATCTGCACTCATAAGCAACATAAAGTGTGGTCAAATAACCCTCACGACCTGCATTGAATGGAGAGGGCCCCATCCAGCAGTGGACTGGCAAAGGGCTGTACATGTGCTGCCCTCCCACACATATCTTACGTGGTGCCGCTGAATCTCCGTCTCCCCTCTTATCTCGCTCTACTCCCATATGCGTACACTGTGATACCACAACCAAGAATTTCTGGCGAAACTCCCAGTCTGCCTCTTGTCAATCATAGTAATACGCAAATAAAGGTGTATTCGATAGTAAAAAGCAGAACACATGGTCCCAGCATGCTTTGCATGTCTAGAAGAAAGTGCCTATTCTTGCGCATGTTCTGCACACAGCCTGTGTTTGCCACCAGTTCAAGAGTTCAGGCTCAAGACCTTCCTTTCCTCCACCTTTGACTTCTTATCCTACTACAATGTGTGCTCCCACTCAGCTCAACATCCTGAGGGGTGACCCAATTTAGATGCTATGTAAATCCCATTTGTATTGTATCCCAACATACAGGGAGGGAGCAGCTATCCCCAACTTTTTGACGGGGTGGGGGACACACCATATGCAGTTCCAGAAATTACTAGCCTAGTACGGATTATCATAACTACTACTTGCTTTCAGAACTTTATCATTGTGCCCATAACCATGTCTACACAAGTATGCTGGTTTCAACACTCAGTGCGAGTGCTCGCAATTAAAAGGGCAAATCCTTTGCACAGGTTTCCCTGCACAGCTGAGAAAACGGCCCTATCCTCGAATTGGGTGTGGACGGCCTATCCCCTGCATTCTCGCTGGTGGGTCATCATCACGGCAGTAATTAATCCAATGATGATGTCAGCATGACTATTCAACATAAAAATGCATTAAAACAAAAAAAAGCTCCAGCAGTATTAGTAAAACATTATTTATAACATATATTTGAACCTGCCGAGCGGAGTTGTACATCTGACATCATCAATAGCAAGTGATATCAGAACCAGTTTTGGGCTCCCCACCCCCTTCTACAACCCACACTGATCAGCGTGATGAAGTAATGCATGGTCAAACAACACCCATCACAAACATGGCATACAACAGGCCTTCATCCAGCAGTGGAGATGGGGACTCTCATTTCAGTCTGGATAATTTCCTCTCCTGCACTGCCTGTGAATGAGATTGAATCCATTCCACGGTCTTCATTTACACATCCAAAGCCCTCTTTCCAACCATCCCACCTGTCTCTCACCTCCCTCCCCCTAACTTCTCAATAAACATATACTCCCCATTCACGTTATCTCGAGATTTGCATGTCCTCCTTTGTGTGCAACGCTGCGAACGCTATTGTTTCTTTAGAACTGATTTTTAATGTTTCGTTTCTTGTCCTTCCCCGCACCCGATTAGCACGGTTGGCTTCATACGATGCGAAATAAATTCAACATACATCGTGTTACTCAGAACTCTAAAGTGCCCACACCATATTTAACAATGCACACAAATAAATGAGTGGCGCAAGGCTTCTAAAACTTATCAAGATGCTGATGTCACTGCTTACAAGTTATTCAATTATCTCCCATTGTCTTTGGAGTGTAATTACAAGGAGCCGTCCATAAATTACGTCACACACCTAGAGGGGGGGGAGGGGGGTCAGACATTTGTGACGATCTGTGACGATGTGTGACGAGGGGGGGAGGGGGGGTTTGAGAAATGTGATGTCACATCAAAATGCGCAACTTTAAATATAAACAAGAGATTTGTTATAACAACACAAATTTTGATTAATTTTCATTATTAACTATTTGATTATTTAAATGTACTAAGGTCACCTTTTATTTATCCCATTAAGGAGAATTTTGCTTTTCCATGAGAGAATGGAGAAGCATACATTTTGTAATTTTTTTTAATGATTGTTATTAAACATTTTGATTCTAATGATTCTACTAGGGCTTTTCATTCTGTGGAATGAATGTGATTGTTATAAATGTACTCTCCATTTTGCTTCGTTCTACTACAAAGTTTCAAGTATTTTTTTATAGTTATAATTACTTTTAATATTTTATAATTAGAAGAGAATTTCAATATAATATTCTGAACATCTGCAGTTTTAGTTAGACGTTGAATATTTTCAAGTGAATTTTATGTTAAATTTCAGCTTTCCAATGCCTCCTTTTTAGTACGTGTTTTCTCCTATAACATCAGAGTGCAGCGCCACATTAAATTCGCACTACAATGACAATAGTTTAAAGTGATTTGAAGCATGTTTTTTTTTCAAAATGTAACAATGGTTTGGGGGGGGGGCAGAGCTTTGTGACGTCATATTTGAGGGGGGGGTCTGACTTTTCGTGACGCCGTGTGACGAGGGGGGGCAGGGGGGGGTTAAAAATCGGCCAAAATCGCGTGACGTCATTTATGGACGGCCCCCATCTTCCACTTGAGTTGATTTTTAACTGCTCACAAAATACTTGTGACAAACACACACACCTCTCGCTCGCAGTGGCGAGTCACTGCGATTGATAAAATAATTAGCTGGGTGAACGATTAACCAATCAACCAACGAGACCACCCTGTTTGTCATCAGCTGAGTGATTCATGCGCTCCCAATTTTGGACACAAATTACGAGGCCACCTTTGAGCTGTCATAATCATCAAACCCACTCGGCGTGCGTGCATTAGGAATCCACGCCAGCAATATTCCACCAATTCAGTAACACTGTGGCAATAAGAATGATCAATGGAACAGCGTTGGTGGTCACTGCAAGTTGTTGTTGTTGTTGGAACAAGTAAACAAATGGAATATTGGCAATGTGACAGCTTTATTTATGGGGTATTTTTGACCGATGCATAAGTGCCATTTGTCAGACCAGAAGGTGAGCAAGCCACCACAATGCATCAGCAGCCTACTTTGCGGTGGGGAAAATCCCAACGCACACTGTGGTCGAATGACGTCCTCAACTTACTCACAAGTTCATGTTTTGTTTTCAACATTTCAAACGACGACACGTTTGTGTTGTCAAAGAAAACTGCTTCGGTGTAGGCGTGCAAAGCACAAATGCAACTCACCCCCGATCAGCGTTATTAACAACATAAGCGTGTAATATTGCTCATTTTGGGAAATTGTCGACAATGTAGCAACCTAGTAATCTATATTTTTCTTCCTCTTTCGCGGAGGGCCACAGCTTGAAATGTTCGCCTACTGTGTCTGTTTTGTGGCGGCGTTAACGGAGGGTGCAGTCTTAAGTCAGTGTTGATGATGGCACGATGTGTCTGTGTGTTGTGCCACCCATCCATAGCAATCAGACAATCACTGGGATGGCCACCAACCTGAAACTCATGAATGTAGATCACAGAAAACGCGTGCACATGTTCCAATGATACGTGTACCCCTGAAGTAAAGTACTTCGCAATAAAATTGTACAACATTTTTAGTGAGCTGTCTTGGTAGATTGCGAATACAGCGCTTTAATAACACGTCAGATGGGTCTGTTTAGGCACCACATTTAATTTACACATCATTTACGTCCATCGGGCCTATGGGCCTCGTAAATCAAATTCATAACGTGGCCACACGCTGCTGATGAGACTCGTAAAAGCGAAACCGGTGCAGCATTTCCAGGCTTAAACAGACGCTGCTAGAAGTCTCATAGGTTGCTGGACTTAAGGACTTTGGTGATGAAACAGACCCGTGCCTTTTTTTATAACTTATTATTCTCCACATATAATCACGACGAGGTATTTACAACACTGCCAAGCATAAACCCAACCACAGGGAGACCTTCAGGTACAGAAAGGTCACATAGGTGATCGGACTGGTAAAACCACGCATATATAAACCAAACGGAATCATTAAAACATGACATGGTACTTTGAGCCACTAACAAATTTTAATATCAAGCACCCTCACGGGTCACCCTTAAAGTACAGCACTCGTCTCAGCAGGCGAGTGAGAATGGTGTTGAAGTTGAGGCGGACAAGGAACCATGGAGACCCCATGTCGAGTAGCCACGAGTCCCTATAGAGGCTGTTCAATTATTGATGGGAGACACGGTGGCACACGACGAACGCTGCCCCCACCTCCCAATATCACTCATCAATCATATGCCTCACATCAATATCACTCATCCACATCAATAGCCCTCACCTATCAATATCCCTCACCCATCAATATCCTCACCCATCAATATCCTCACCCATCAATATCCCTCACCCATCATATCCTCACCCATCAATATCCTCACCCATCAATATCACTCACCCATCAATATCCTCACCCATCAATATCCCTCATCCACATCAATATCTCTCACCCACATCAATATCCTCACCCATCAATATCCTCACCCATCAATATCCTCACCCATCAATATCCCTCACCCATCAATATCCCTCACCCATCAATATCCCTCACCCATCAATATCCTCACCCATCAATATCACTCACCCATCAATATCCTCACCCATCAATATCCCTCACCCATCAATATCCTCACCCATCAATATCCCTCACCCATCAATATCCCTCACCCATCAATATCCCTCACCCATCAATATCCTCACCCATCAATATCCCTCACCCATCAATATCCCTCATCCATCAATATCCTCACCCATCAATATCCCTCACCCATCAATATCCACTCACCCACATCAATATCCTCACCCATCAATATTCCTCACCCATCAATATCACTCACCCATCAATATCCCTCACCCATCAATATCCCTCACCCATCAATATCCCTCACCCATCAATATCCCTCACCCATCAATATCCCTCACCCATCAATATCACTCACCCATCAATATCCCTCACCCATCAATATCCCTCACCCATCAATATCCCTCACCCATCAATATCCCTCACCCATCAATATCCCTCACCCATCAATATCCCTCACCCATCAATATCCCTCACCCATCAATATCCCTCACCCATCAATATCCCTCACCCATCAATATCCCTCACCCATCAATATCCCTCACCCATCAATATCCCTCACCCATCAATATCCCTCACCCATCAATATCACTCACCCACATCAATATCACTCACCCATCAATATCCCTCACCCATCAATATCACTCACCCATCAATATCCCTCACCCATCAATATCCCTCACCCATCAATATCCCTCACCCATCAATATCCCTCACCCATCAATATCCCTCACCCATCAATATCACTAACCCATCAATATCCATCACCTATCAATATGCTTCACATCAATATCCCTCACCCACATCAATATCCCTCACCAATCAATATCACTCACCCATCAATATCCCTCACCCATCAATATCCCTCACCCATCAATATCCCTCACCATTTCAACACCCCTCCCGCATGGATCTCAACATCATTCGTGGACAAAAGTCAAGGAGAAAGGTGAGTGCATCAAAAAACTGAATGGTGGCACCTCGCTCACCTGCAGATGACTGTGGTGGTGGTGGTGGTGGCCTCACCCGGTCCCAATGTCAGCCTGACACGAAGCCCCCAACGGCGTCGGCAAGCAGTGGGGCCAGGGGGCTGCGGGTCCACGACGTCCGGGAGGAGGAGGCGACGGAGGTTTACGCAGAGGAGACCCGCGTCTGGGTTCTCATCGAGGCGGGGAGATCCCCATGCGGGCTTGGTGATGATGTCCAAGGGGTATCTGGCTCCCATCGTCCTCAATTCTTCAGGCAAGGGTGGCCCTCCTTCGTGGTGTCCAGCACAATAATCCGGCAGTATAGTCCGAGAAAGGGAGCGATGGAGGGACTTAATTGTTCAATGAACGACTGAAGAAGGGACCCTTCTTGACTGGGGCCAGCTTCGCAAGTCTTCACCGAATCGAGGCGATTGTTTACGTTTTCGAGAGCTTCCTTTAAAACAGAGACTTGTGGTCTCGATGGTTACAAAACATCACGAATACGAAGCTCATACGTCCATCTGCCTGTCTACAGTACTGTAGTTTGGTTTGCATCACTGAAGTTGTCGCACACACGTTACTCAAAACTCGGCGCCTGAATCAAACCAAAATTAACTTTGTAGCAGCGCTCCCGGTTCCAAAGTTGCAGTCTTCTCGCCGTACACTGTATGCACGTATCAATAATGTGCGATTCGCAATGACTGCGCACTCTAACGTGTACGTACACACGTACTTACGCAGTGGCTAAGCTATATGGCGTGGTGGTGGTGGTGACCCAACCACTCTGACCCGCAGTGCTAATGCCGTATCCGCCCGCACGCCGAGACGCAATGGCTTCGACCCTCCTCCTCTTCTCAGTTTCTTGTTCCTCCCTCCCGAATCTCTCACCACCACCACCACCCCCTTGTCCCGTCTCCCAGCGCCGTCCCGCCACCAAGGACCCCACGTGCGTGCCACTGGCGCCCCTCGAGGCCCAACTCGCTGAGCCACGCTTGTTGATGATGGAGTTGGGGTGGTTGGCTGGCTGTGCGAAAGGGCTCTTAGGAGGCCACCTGGCGGATGGACAGAGATTTCAGTTTCATTTATTTGGTGTAGCCCTGTGAGCCATTCGGCTCTTGAATCGGGTGCAACCGCAACAAACAAAAAAACAGGAACAAGAAAACATCTTAAAGTGGCTATGCGCAAACAGAAAAATCCAGGAAAAAACTGCAAAGTCTTCCAGAAATAAAAGCACCGTACACCAACGCTGTGCAAAAATCCCAGTGGGATGCAAGTCAAACAACAACAAGACAACTTAGATTAAAGCCATCATTCTAACTCCGTACTACAACAAACAAACATGGCCATACCAAAAAACTTTTCGAAATCACCCAAATAAAGCCATAAGCAATGTAACAGTGATCATAGAGCAGAAGCAGCAGTCGGCCAAGGGTGATCGTCATCAACTCATCGTTGTTTAATATTGTTCATCAAGTTCATTCGGCTGGTGATTCGTGAACCGGCTGTTGTAGAAACCAAAAAATGTGCAATGAGCAGCGAAACGTCGAACGACGACTTAATTATATTCTTGGTTATTTCGGAAAAGTCACGTAGAAGGGAAACAATACAATAATACAAATATAAAACAGTCGAAACGTCGTGAGAATTTTATTGTTTTATATTTTTATTATTTTATTGTTTCCCTTCTACGTGACTTTACCGAAAGAACCAAGAATATGAATCCCTGCAGTCACGAAAGCTTTAAATCAAAATTTAGACGATCCAATTGTTAGGTGTTGTGGCTCGCTCTCCAACATTGTCGGTGGTGCTGAATCAGTAACACAGTCACTGAGCATTGCCACGTTTATTCAAGTGACAACTTTATTCATTGGCTGTGTCGGGTGGAGGAGGGCTTACGACACACATTTTTCCTAAGGCTGTCTGACCCAAAAAAAACACCATCATGCATCATATTGGCTGCGAAGGCTTACGCGTTAAGCATTCGTAAGTGTTCATCATTCATATCGTAGTGGCATTAGCAGCATCATAATTTATCAGTCATCATAAAAATCAGTCAGTCGTAATTTATCGACCATCATCTGGTGCCATAATCACAATCAGCATTTATGACGTGTACGTTTCTATATCGATCATATTTCTTTCCATAAATGTTGTAATCATTACTTATCGTAACACAGTAATGTAGCAGTTATTATTATCACCATAATGTATCATTCATCTGTCAGTGATCATTACTATAATGTGTCAATCATGATTTAAGGATGATTAGAGTATATTAATGAATCAGTCATCATGATGAGTCATGATCTATCCACTGTTGGATGAAGGCTTCCCCAAGCCGTCACAATTTAACGGTCTCATGGTGGAACAATCCACGTAGTTCCGATAAACAAAACAATGTCATCGCTATAGTGAGCTGCCTCCCTTTGGCGTGGCATTACATTGTTAAAATCATCTTACCTTCCAGCTATAAATTTGCAGACAATAACACCTCCAGTCCATAGATAAAACCAATGTTTTTAACACATCCCATCGGCCGCACAGCCTTGTGAGAGTGCATCATTTCAACAGCATTAGTTCAAACCAAGCAAACCATCGGTCGGATTTGAAATGCAGTGTCTAATCAGCAGTCAAGCTTGCTTGAACTAATGCTAGTGAACTACTGTATCAGATGTGTTTTGTCAAGAGCCCTCTCTGTCAGATGTGGGTCCTGGGTTAGATGCAAACATTTATAATAAATAACGTCAACTTAACAATGAGCGTCGTTAGGGAGAATATATAGCACCAATAAATAAGACGACAATTGGCGTTGTACATTAAACAATGTCAACTCACATTTGAATTTCCCGCCAGCTGCATCACATTTACGCAGATTGCCTTCTGATTGGCTGCCACAGCTCATGACGTCACCGCTAGACGTCCGCACGTCATCAGCCGATGTCGCGCGCCGCTGGGAACATGGAGCGAGCGAAGGCGACGCCGGGGCCAAGGTGGCCGTGTCGTTCGGCTTCAGCAAGAAGATCGACCGCTCCAGGGTCAAGGAGGCGTCCGTTCTCCACGATGAGAAGCCCAGCGCCGAGGAGACGGACTTCGTCACGGGCGTGGAGGGGAAGGAGGTCGTGAGGTTCGCGAAGTGGACGAGCGTCGCGGCCTAAAATTAGAGGTTTTGACACGGGCCCCCCGTCTTGCCTGGTTTTGTTTACCCGAAATGCGCACCGTTACCGGGGGTTTTAAGCAGGCAAGCGCGGGGGGTTGGCAGTGGAAGGGACGCCTTGCAATTCTATTAATCAACTTGAGTTTCATTCATACTGAGTGAGTTTGTTTTAACTTAGTTTCCCTGATTAATAACTCTAACGGCGTCTGGTCTATCCACTGCCGAGTGAAGTTTGTAAGCCGTCGACTGCGATCTAACAATCCATCGTTCGGCACATAGGCTGAGAAGACACCAACCACTGCGCACTTGATGACTGCCTGTCGCCTGATGAAGCTGGTTGTAATTACTGGCGAAACGTCGTACTCAAATTGTAAATGTTGTGGATTTGCTCTCCTACACACCGGTGCTGTACTAGTCATGAATTGGCATGTTCTGTTTACTTGACAAACCTCACTAATTGGCTGCGTCGGGTGGTTGACGGTTTTAACAATACATTTATATTTACGCGATCTAACGCAGAAAAACCTGTATTATGCACTTGATGACTAAACGCTTAGCATAACGGCTACACGGTGTGCTGAATCAACCACTATATTGTGTCCTACCTTAGAATGCCGATTTAAATTAATATCGAGGATGTTACATATTTGTTTACCAATCAGATGCATGCGTCGTGTAACTACTTCACGTGTATATTTTGTGTGGATTGGTTTGATAAAAGTTCAAAGGTGGTCCCTGATAGGTCGCGAGGACTGAATTATGGGAACCACTACCTGAATGACAATTACAATAGAGTGCTGTTACATGGCAAGCCATTACAGGGGTGTGTATTCCCCAACTCGTTAGTATCTTGAGATGTGGTTATAGTCAAGGCACATGTCGATACAAATTGAGAGTGCATTTTTTTGTTTCTAATGTTTGCAGCGTCAAATCCAAGGAGAAAGTAGGGGAGCTGGTGATTCCACTGATCCAAAAGAACCGCTATGTGGGCCCTGCACTGGAGAAGCACAATACCACGGAGGGGCAAGAGAATCAAGGGCAAAAGAAGGACGATGTGGAATCCAAGGCCATCCAAGAGCTGCTGGAAGGTTAGGGAGACGTTGTGTTTAACTTGTGGTAGGCAGGCTGCAAGAGCAATGCTCTTGGGTATTTGACCAGGTATGGCAGTTAACGGTTGGAATCGAGAGCTTTTGACGAATGGGTTGGTGGATCGTAGATTTATCAAACCCACAAATAGGCTGAGGTGGACTGGGTATGAGATTGAAGTACAATTTCATGAATGTATTTTGTCCAAATCTTCCAGTGCAGGACCCTCTTTAACAAGAGTCTTGAGTATCAATGAGGCTTCCCTGGATAAATAAATAATATACGATCACATTGTCAAAAGCAAATTATTGACAGTGGGACTTTCCAGTTTGGACTTAATATAGAGTAATTTTAGTGCCGAGAAAAACACTTGAGAATATTTGGCTGCTGTACATTTCTACATGATAAGCCATGTCATTGTTTGTGGCCAGGTCGCTTCTATAAAAGAGCTGTAGAGCTCATTGAGCCTAATCTGTGAAAAATAATAACTTTGCATTGTTTGCAATGTTTTATTTGTACGGGTCGGTGTGCTGTGCAGAGTCACGGAGGTTCCAAGAACTGCAGAATGGGGGTGAAGAGGTTGATGAAAACCTCGCGATCCCACTGCTCATGCAGAACAAGGTCCCTGAGGGATACGAGGATGGGGACAAAGTGGACGTCAGTCTGAGACCCGAGTCGGTGAGTGCTTCACAGAGATGGCTGGAGTGGTGGTTAAAAATGAGTGTCAGGTGTCTGTTAGAATACGTTTTTGAGGGACATAGAGATGAGAGGGGAGAGGTAGGCAGTGGAGAGTCCACGGAGGATTTTTGAAGTCAGTATTATCTTCAAATGTGTTTTCATGCTCTGTCATCCTTTGAGTGTTTGCGTTTTAATGAGCTCTGCATTCCTTCTCTTAGGCAACGGAGGCAGACTACGCTGCAGTCCCCATCGAGGCGTATGGCTTGGCAATGCTAAGAGGAATGGGTTGGAAGAAAGGGGAAGGCATTGGCAGAACTTTTAAACAGTAAGTCTTGCAGCAGCAGTCTTACAGCTTCAGAAAACTACCAAACTCTGCACACTGTAATGTGGACTGGGAATATATCGATTCATCAGTTAAAATGTTATACTCATAAAATAGAAAAATGTGTCCGAATGTATCACAACTTATGTAAAATATATGTAATTCATGTAATTATGTATCATAAGGAAAATGGAACAGATGACTGCAAAGGATGAAAATTAAATGACAATCCAAAATGGTTAAAACTCATCGAATCGGCAAAGGGGTGGTAGTGGTGTAAATCATTACACGTCTGGTGTGCACACCTCTTTAAACACTCTGCACGCCCGTGTACCTCTTGCGCACAGAGACGTGAAGCCTATTGAAGCCGAGGTGAGGCCAAAGGGCCTGGGTTTGGGAGCGGACCGCTCGGCGGCCGATGCCCTCAAGGACATGAAGCCTCAGCGGCCACTCAAGCCGGGCGAGAAGCGCCCAGAGGAGCAGCCCAAGGCTACGCGGCCGGCGCGTTTGTGGTTGTGGAGAAAGGGCCACACAAGGACCTGTATGCGAAGGTACAGCAGCTACACTTCATTAATGAAACAGTAGATTTTTGAAAATCAGTTATGGATTGGGTTATTTCTGAAAGTCATGGAATCCGTTGACGTTTAAGGAAATTGGTGTGCACATTCTAACAGCACAGCGCATTTTAATGTAATTGGTTAGCGGCAGCCATAATAAGGCACTCACCGTGTGGTAAGTTGGAATGGGAAGTTGCACTTGTATTTTTCATATAAGACACTTCGATATGTGTGGTAAAATTATTATTAACGTTTTTCATTCTTTGCATGCGATTATGAAAAACACTAATAAAAATTAACAACCCGAATAAGAACCCATAAACTCGCCTTGTCTTCTGTGCAACTTTCTGAACATTGGAATGGTTGTGGAATGTATTGCTAACTTTGCCTCGCCAGGTGGATGGCTTGGACCCAGACAACGCACGCTTGGTTTTGCGTCTGGCGATCGGGGAAACGTGATCACCATCAGCCAGTACGCGACGCGTCTGGTGAACAAGGAGGAGTACGAGAAGTACAGCAAAGACCTCAGTACGTGATTAACAGTTGCTGCATCACACTGCTTTGGAGTGGCGCTCCGATTGCATCCTCTCCTGTAACAGTTTTACATCTGAATCGCCCACAGGTCGCTTAAGCAAGGCGCACAAAGATAAAGAGAAGCAGGAGAAGAAAGAGAGGGAAAGGGAGGATGAGCACCGGGAGAGTCGCTCCAGCGGCAAGAGGGATGAGGGTAAGAAGAACTCCCATGACGGGAGCAAAGCCGGCAGACCGAGAGACGACCGGCACAAGGACGACGACGACCGACACGGCAAAAAGAGGAAACACGAAGATAAAGACGACGGCCGGTAACAACTTTGGCCCTCGACTGCATAGCATGAACCTTAAAACTGGTTGTACAATGTGTTTTTATTTGACCGTGCTTTCATTTTACTTCCACTCATTCTCTGCTCTAGGAAAAGCAGCAAACAGGTGGTGGCTGCGAGTACTTCCTCGAAGCCGCGCTGGCTGCGCAGGGACCTGCGGGTCCGTTTTGTGGACAAGTTTTACAAGGGAGGCAAATACTACAACAAGAAGGTGTGCCACAAGGTTGCAGCACTGGTGCGATATATTCTGCGTGTCCAATGGTGGTACAACAAAATAAAATGTATGGATATTTAATTTTGGATCGGCTTACTCATCTGCTTCACGTGCTTTTAGTTGCTCTAGAAACCAAAATCTCAGTGACGTAGAGAGCAGCAAGTCAAATTAAGAGGTTTTGTGTGTTTGCATGTGTAGCACGCGGTGGGCAGAGTGCATTCATATTAAGACAGATCTTGCCCAAGCTCTGTAGTCCTACATTAGGATGTTTGTCCAAAGACTGGAAATATGGAAAGGCAGACCATGCTGGGATGTGAGAATCGGAATATGATTAACCCTGGTGAGCACCTTTTGCTTCTTGATGAACTGTGTTTACCTCTTTCCTGGCAGATGACGGTGGATGATGTGGTCACGCCAGAGATATGCGTTTGCAGGACAGAAGAAGGCCAGATATTGGAAGGTATTCCATCACCTGCTTTCTCCTCACCTCAACAAAGGCACTTCTAAAATCGTTAAAATAAAAATTCCTTGACATTGTTTAAAAGTAATTTTTCATATTTTTATAAAGTATTACATGCATTACTTGTGGATTTTTTTTTATTAAAGGAATCGAGCAGTCCATGCTGGAGACCATAATACCCAAGACGGACAAGGATTATGTCATGGTGGTACTGGGGAAATACAAAGGCCAGGTCGGTACTCGTCAATGAAGGTTACAATTTACTGCAACCCCAATTATGTGCAATGGTTTGTGTATAGCCTCAGCAGTCTTAGGTGATCTTACACAACTGACTTTCATTAGTTTCCCTAGCAGTGAGCCACAGGTAACACTGTGAAGAACCAGAAACTAAAGCGTCCTTCCACCTCACCACGTGTATTTAACCCCCTTGCGACTGAGATATTTTATACTGATGAAGATTGATCTCTCTTACATTTTGGGTGTTCACAGCACTACGGCGGCTAGCTCTGATGATCTCCAAATAATTGTGTGCAACAACCTCCGCAGGTGGGGCTCATCTTGAACAGGGACAAAAACAACTGCCAGGCGACCGTGCAGCTCACGGGCCAGTCGGACCAACTACTCAAGCTCAGCTACGACGACATGTGTCACTATGTGGGCGAAGTGGATGAGTTTGAGTGAGTGTGCACGGGGACTCCACCCCACGATCCACCTTGCCGCAACCCGGCAGCTTGCCGCACGAGTTTGACGGTGCAACCCAAAAAACTAAATATTTCTGCGGCTGCACATGTAGGTTGTGTCACAAGTGGTCTTTAACATGAGTTTTGAGGGTTGGTTCATGGGAAAATATAATTGAATTGACTATCAGATGCACCGCCGTGATGTTCTAGTGATGTCACTGTGGAGTGACTGCCGTACTGTTTGATGGCCCCACGATGATGTCGATGCAGTGCCACGGCAACGTGCATGCAGTCACTTCAGGGTCTTTAGCATCAACGACACTTTAAACTCGTGTATTACAACTTGGGACAGCCTAAGCATGCCTAATGTGTACAACTGTGTCAATCCACTGCTTAATGAAGACCTCCCACACCAGTCATGGAGGTTATTTGACCATGCTTCACCACATCGGTTCGTATGGTTTGGTGAAGGGGACGCTCAGGATCAGTTCTGGCATTACCACTGATATTAGTTGACTAGAAATCAAACTTAGGTTACCTGGCTCGCAGTGCATTGCTCTTTAGTTTTTTGGGTGACATTAAATACAATTCACACGTAACTCGGCACTCCACATACTGCTTATAGGGCTCCTTATGGCAGACTTAATCTATACCCAAGATGCCTAACCTGAAACCAGCCCTAACTATTCACTGGCAAGCTGGTGCAAAGTTCGAGGCTAGTTGTAAACCTGGTTGCTTACAAAGGATGTTTTTCCCAACTGAACAAAGTGTTTTGCTTCCAAAAAGGCTATTTGTGATAGCACTGTCACCTCTATCATTGCATTTTGTTCTATTATAACAGGGCAATGCCTGTCTGCATTCTGTCGTTAATGGCAGCGGAGAAATGTGATCTGAAAATCACGTGGTGTTTAAAATACAGCCAGTGGCTGCTGTAATTGATGATGATCAAGTGAGCAGACTCCTACTGCCTTTTTAGTTCATGGGCCACAGCAGAATTTGGTACCACAGTTGGTGTATAGGGCTAATAAATATGGCTTGTGATAATGTTCATGAGATAAGGTTATTGCATAATTAATTTTTAGTGCCAATTTTTTTTGCAAAACTCGATTGTTTTTTTTACCTAGGAAAGCTTAACCGAGTTTCAAGATTTTTTTTTAGGAGGATCCTGTCAAGTTTTTGCAGTCGGGACAATACTATAATCCCAATTGAGTCATTTGCAGGTAATTGTCCAGCACTGGGATTTTCGATCAATACCAGTTCCATTGGCTGGTTCTATTTGAAACCAGACATCGAATGCAGAACAGGGGGAGGGGAGACATCCAATCTCCACACAGAAAGGTGCCCAACTTGGAAATCGAACCACAGGGCGTCTTGCTGTGGGGCACAAGTGTTACCACTGTCAACCTGCCGCCAATCGGGTGTTGCCAAGTACGGCATTCGGTCTTGGCCCATTGAATATTTTGTTAGGAATGTAAAGATTCAAAGATTTCCATTAAAATCCATTCTTACGCTCGTGCAAACATGCAGGGAATCATGCCCCTGAATCGCAAAGTTTTGTTGCAGTGGTGAACATGCCGAAAGGTCACCTGAGAAAGCATGGTCATCATGGTAGCTGGCTTATCATTGGTGGAAACTTCCATGGGGATTGCCTTGGAGTGTGTTTAACATTATATATTTAATCTGCAATACTGTGTATTGCTCAAATGAGTGAATGTGCTGTCTGGTGTAGTTACCTAACCTGTACTTCCACATGTTTGTGGTTTAAATTTATATGGTTCAATACATTTGTACATACCACTCAGCAACAAGGTATTTTGTTGGGTTGATATAAAAAAACACTTTTGTAATAAATGTAATAGTCCAGTGGTTTTCTCAGTTGGCGTTTATTGTTGTACATGGTGTGGCTTTGATTTTATACTTAAGTTTCTATACGCGTACTTTCCATACTCCATATGGATTCTTTGTATCAAACTTTTTTTATTCGCATTTCACACAAGGTACTTCCACAAGTGCTGCTTCACAAGTATCACATTTACAAGAGTAAATACTCCAGTTTTTATTTTATATATAAATCAGTAATTTTTATGAGCAATCATTCAAGCTCTGCGTTTTAAACAAGTGCTCTCCATTTTGCAGCTGGAAACATTTTTCCTCTCCCAAGTCTTGGGGCAGTGCCAAATCTCCTCCCAGTCCAAATTCCTGAGAGCTGACTCCATCATAGCCTGCAGACGACAGGGCTGACGAGCTTTGGGAGAGTCAGATTTCAGGTTTGGGTGCGTCTTAACTTCCCGAAGCACCTTCGTAATCAAGAGGCGACGATAATCATTTTACCGGGTAACATCCCATCGGGTGCACTAGAGGTTGGCTTCGTAGCGGTCGCGTGACTCATGGTGCAGGAAGGCGTACTTGGCGTGCTTCTTGCTCAGAGGGATGCGGCCGAAGGGCTCCAGGTCGTTGAAGCACGGCTCGAACACGCGATCCACGGCCGCCTTGGCCTCCTCGACAGTCGCGGGCCGCACCGCCAGGATGGACAAGACGGCTCGGTTGCGCACGCACGTCTGCATGCGTGGGCACAGTTGATCATCATCGCTTCGTACGATTTGCCATTTGTGCCATTCTCAGTGCAAGGTGCGATGTTTCACAGTCTACAGTGGCACAGTTCAGGCAAGAGTGCCGTGCTATATTAAAAAAATTGTCTGGCTCGCGTGACGTCGCCCACATTGCGCATTGGCCGTAATCAGGAGTTCAGAAGCTGTTGAGCGCTGGCAGGTGGAAGGGTTTACCTCCAGATCTGGACGAGGTGGCTTCAGTGTTATGCTATACTCATATCATTTAATACTATATTATACAAAGAAAAGTTTTGCCGGCTGGTTGGAGGGAGGGATGGAGGTCACAGAAACATGTCTGAAGCAGAGCTCGAATGTTTTTCAGCGGGACATGTACTACAGTTTGTGGCCAAGGGAAATCAGTTGGAACGAGCTATTTAAATTTGAAAAGCGGAGAGCCATACATTGGTACCAAACACCACAAGGAGCACACGTACGTACGTACGTACTTGTGTATTCACTCATCTATTAGAGATTCAGAGGTGCCGTTACGTTGTTGACCACTTGGTGTTTTGGGTTGGCGCTTCGCAACTGTGATTACATTTTTTTTAAGTACCTGGTGATGGCCTTTCAGTCCAAAGTTGTATCGCCTGAGTTCGTTTTGGAAGGAGCAATCCCCACTGAGGTTCGCAGCTCGGATCTGAAAGAAATAAAATTACGATTGCCTTTTTTTTATACTTGTAACAAACAAAAAACTTTGCACGTACCACATTTTTGCATTACGACCACCGGTAGGGACAGACTAATCGTATGTTAGCATGGGACGTTCATTAAAGCGGATTCCCACATGGTGGCAACAGAGTCGGGTGGGGGGGGGGTAGAGCGGTGGGCAGTGTAGCAATACGCTACACTTGGATTTCGGTGACCCATGTATGTTCGATTGTCGAGCTGATATCGGTGGTGCAATCTTAACCAGGTCCGGCAACCCCCAGGATTGATACAGCGTAGAGAGGCCTTCATCCAAAAATGGCTGTAAATTATAATTATTGCTAGGATGAGTTTCTAGAACCATTACGGGAAAAGGAAATTAATTCTCAAATTTGCTAATCGACTCACTCTCCCGGTCAGACTAATAACTGTGTTTTGAATCGTGGTGAAAGCAGCAGCCTTTTGTGGCGACCGGGAGCACACGTAACCATGAAACCAATGAATTTTACACCCATAATGCACACACCCGGTTCGTGTAGCCCCTTTCCAATGCCACACGTCACCATCGCACGCCACCAGGTGCTCGTAAAAACAAACCACAGATGTGGCTGAATACAATAGACACACCATCTCTTTTAATGCCGCTGTAAAATGTATTGTATCTGTACCATCATGATCTAAAATGTATCTGCCCCGACCCAACTTGCACCACGGGAATTGATTATTTAGCATCGTTTCGATTACTCATTTGATAAGTTGTATATTATGATTTATAGGTTGCTTTATAGCTGTACTTCGTTATGATTTTGTTATAACCTAGGACACTCTTGCATATGAGATTATGCTGGTACCGCGAGTTCTCACCTGATTAAATAAATAAACTTGACTACAATAGACACACGAATCAGAAATACCCCTATTCTATATCGCGTAGGTTTTTTGCAATTGCACGGTCCAGGTTCTCTGGCGTGTCCTCGGGTTGCACCGTGCGTCGTTTGGCACAATGTCCGACGGTTCGCTCCATTCAGTCACCGTGTGTTCAGTCGCAAGTCACGGAACCAGTTCTTGAATTTTTGGAATCCACAATACATTTTTGAAAACGCTGCGTCTGGGGTAAAAACGATAATAGGCAAACGACCCTGCTGGGGACCCACCTCGGAGCAGGCCATGTGGTCCATTGAGCCGAACCAATCGACGTGCGCGCGGCAGTGGTCGAAGGCGTGGATGAGCTCGTGCGTCACCACGCGGTCCATGTAGTGCTGGTTCTGCACGTTGTTCTGGCAAATCACCACCTGGACGCAGGCACACCGCCAAGCGACAAACGCGTCGTGTCCTTGCGCCGTCCGCGATGAATTCATGTCATGATGTAGAAATACAGAGGGGCGGGACGGAGGATGGGCAATTGCTCCGCTAACTTTTAGACAAAAGTTTTGCCGTGCCCTCTCGGTCAACTGGCCTTCCTTCGTGGGCCACTTTGGCTGCTTTCTTCGCAGAGCACGAAAATCGCTCCCACAAAGCTATTTAATACGCGACTGAAAATAATCTCGAACGTCGTTGAGGTATTTAAACACAGCGCAATCTGTAGCCCAGGAGTGTGCAGTATTTTGTGAGCGTGAGCCAACATCAAATCTCATAGCTCACCACAGGCCAAAAGAGCTGGAGGGGGGGTTACGTGTAAACTTGGCGTACATGGGGTGACATTAGTGAAAGTGACATCACGTTCGTGAACAAAAGAAAGTGGCCGCGGTAGGTTGTTTGCAGTGAACAGCACACCCAGTTGTTCGCTGAGCGTGCATTAACTGCTGGCACTCGAGGGTGGGATTAGGGTCACAACCATGCCGTCAGACCAATGCAGTCCACGACCATAGGCTGCTGTAGCCTCTTCACACTAAGCATGTGAGGATGCATTGATTCTATGATGAATAGCGATTCTTAGGGTCACGATACATGCATCGGATCATGCGCGTAAGAATCTGTTATTTACAATTATGCAAGTTACATGCAAATGATGAGCTAGTGTTACATTTCGGAACGGAAGACAAACTAAATTGGACAAGTGAGAAACAATACAACGGAGACAGCAAAAAGACAACAAAGTCTCTTCTCGCATAAATATACCACAAAATTTATGAATTAAATATCGTTAAAAAATATGCCACCAAATCGTAATATTTCAAATCGTTTACGCAGTTAATCGTTACAAACCTACTTTAGACTGGTTCTGTGTGTAACCCTGACATCATTAAACCAGACCGCCAATCCCAGATAACGTGGCGTATGTTGGGAAGGTTTGACGAGAGAGAGTTAAATGAGAGGCCGAAGCTCGCGCCAGTGGTGACTTATCCGACAAAGCAGGATGCTTTCGATTTAAAGCTTTCGTGACTGCAGGGATTAATCTTCTTGGTTCTTTCGGTAAAGTCACGTAGAAGGGAAGTAATAAAATAATAAAAAATAAACAATAAAATAATTCTCACAACGTTTCGGCCACAACGCAAGCAGCCGTCTTCAGGTGGAGAACAGGTCTGTCACGTAGACAGAGTCTGAATGGCTTCCCTTCTACGTGACTTTACCGAAAGAACCAAGAAGAAAAAAAGCAGGATGCTCACAGGCCAAGGTCAAACGCAGGGGGTTTGTAAGGAAGCACCTGTGATGTGTTGGAGTCGAATCCCCCGGCAACTTTATTGTCGCACTCTTCGCATGAGAAGTGTCGATCCCTGTACGCGGTACTGCACAAAAACAACGCGAGCTCGTGAAGCAAACATTTGAATTGGGGGCACGGTCGCCCCCCACGACAGCCTGGCAAGACGCGTGCGTTTCTATTCAACATCCGTCAGTGGTTTCCTCACTCAAATGAGCAGTTTACAGCTCTAAGCCAGTTTTTTTATTCCACACTTGTATGTATGTCAGAGGCAAAATCTACCGACGGGACAACCAATATTTACCTCCTACAAAGCGGTGCTCGTTTTATCGACCCCCAGAAGGATGTGTCGATCCCCCACCGCGATAGAACGCAATCTTGCAAAGCAGGTTGTAAAATGCTTCCCTCTATTGTACGGACCAGAGATAACTTGTGAGATATCGGATGTAGTTCTAACACTGCGGGTTGCATTGCTCTGTCAGAATTTTGACTGAGCACAGTGATTCGCCTCAATGACACGAGGTCGGAAGCAGAATTGCGATAAAATTGGGCAAAAATGTCAGAACATTAAAAAAGTCACTTATCACTCAAAGCACACACCAATACGAGGCTAAAAGCAATTTGCAACACCGATGTGAAAATGACAATCGCTATGAGAGCTGCATTAGCACGCCCAATGACTCGCCCCATTTACAAGATCTATCACGTCTAATCCAGCATAGTCTACGGCGAAATAAACAACTGGGCTGACGCGATCATCGACCAATATTGAGCCACTTCACTTTCGTTCAACTTGGCCCAGCCCTGCACGGAGTGGATACAATAACATCGATAGAGCACACAGCTGTGCCGAACAGACGCAGAGGCTGGTTTATAAAAGACAAAGGTGCAGCCCTGCAATAGCTTGCTCACGCCACTGCAGTGGAAGTGCCTCCACTAGAGGGAGCTCTAGAGGACACCTCGAGAGGGTATTCTTTGGGTCTTTCGGTAAAGTCACATAGATAGGTTAAAATTTTATTTTTAAAAAACCACGACGATTCGATCGCAACACAAGCGATCGTCTTCCTTTTTCCCACCTGAAGACGATTTTTTGTTTATTTTTTATTAATTGTGAACCTATCTACGTGACTTTTCCGAAATACCCAAAGAATATGAATTCCTGTAGTCACGAAAGTTTTAAGTCAAGATTTAGCCTCTAGAGGGTTTTTGCCTACTCTTCCTCGCTGGCCAGACGTCTTGGTAAGGGTGGGGGGTGCTCACACTTTACCCCACCACACCGCGAACTGCCGGTGACTTTTGGTCCATCGATTCTCGATCGACGTTATTGGTTGTCATGAAGTCAGCGAGACACGAAACTCTATCACATCGCCCGACAGGGTCCCTCCTCAATGTTCAGTCGGAGGATCCTTGTCCCGGTGTCTAACTGGGGAGTTGTTTGGCCCTGACGATGGCTGTTGGTGTAGCAGCTTGTGTTGGTGCTCGGGATGATCGATTATCGATCGCTGCGTTGATAGCGTTCGTCGTGATTTGTTTGTATGTTGAACTTTTTTCGCACCGCACGTAGCCAACCGTGCTTCTCGGCAGGTGCCGATTTCTCACTGAACAGAGTGGGCCCGCGTGAAGGCAGCGAGCTTCCACTCCCCGTCGGTGCTGAACGTCTGTGAAGCGACGGTGGAAAAGAGCTTTATAGCTCATCAGATTCCCCCAGTTTAGATACATTCCTCATAAAGTGGTCCGACACTGCTCGGTGGACAGAGGCGGGGGGAGATCTCAGCAGGAAGAGGGTTCAGGATCGGACATCACTCGCCACCGATAGCAGTAATCGAACTCTGGTTAAGAACGCAGTGCGCTAACTACCGCGCAACGGCACCAGACATTGAGTTAGGGTTAACATAATTAAGCGTTCGAATAAAAAATAACCACGTACCACCCCGACCTCTTCAAGGCATCTTGTAGAAGTTTTGCATACGGATCTGAAAGAAACAAAAAAAATGCAGGTTGCACCATTGGAATAAAAGCAGTGCATTAAAATGGGAGTATCGAAACATCTGTACGAGATAGCGTGGTTACTTAGTGTGAAGTGTGCTGTTGTATATGCTGTCGTGCAGGGCGGTGTGTAGCGCATGGGTGTGGTGTTCTTTATAGTGCAGTGTGCACCATGGTGTGTGGTGTGTCGTGTGGTGTGTCGTGTAGCGTGGTGTCGAGTGCGGTGTGTCGTGTGATATGTCGTGTGTAGTGTAGCGTGGTGCACAGCGTGATGTAGCGTGCTGTGCGGCGCTCTTACTCGACTCCAGCGCGACCTTTAGCATGTAGTTGCACCTCAAGCTGGCCACGAACCCGCGCTTGAATTTAGGCACCAGCCGCTCGGGGAAGAGGTGCAAACCATGGCGCTCGTCCCCAGAGCCCCGTGTCCCCGTGCCGTCTCCACCCACAGACTCCCGTGTCCCCGTGCCGTCTCCACCCACAGACTCCCGTGTCCCCGTGCCGTCTCCAGCCCCAGACTCCCGTGTCCCCGTGTCCCCATTACCCGGCGCGGCGTCGCCCACGTTACCCATGGGCGCGGCCATGACGGTGTGACGTCACGCCGCCCCACCGCCCACGTGCTCAAAGGCGCTTGGGAAATTGGCAGCATGCCGCGGATTGGCCAGCAGCATTAGCAACACGCATTGAATGAGCTCGCTCAAGTTGATATAACTCATTGATCATTATTGGTGGGTAATTACTTCTGCGTTCGTTACAATGCGACGAATGCGGCAGTGGCAATTACGTTGTGGAATTAAGTTGCGTCGCCTTGCCATATGCACACTTACACCCAATTTTCCTCTTTTTATCAAAACGCTCAGCACGTTCGTCAATATCACTCCCTGTGTGTCTGTGGCCTTGAAGGAACAAATATAATAGTCGACGTTTTGGACAATGTCCCTTATTGATAGCACGTAGATAGCCAGGCCAGAGAGATGGATTGCACAGTCGCTTTTCTTGTGATCCACTCCTTCTCTGTGGCCTCTAAATGTATACGCTATGAAGTAGAGCCATTGCCCGAAACGTCGCCTAGTATATACTTTTTTCCGTTTAAGGCCACACGCAGTGCTATTGATGACTGTGTTGAGTGTTGTTTGCGCACCACTGCCAATGCAGCAGCAGGAGCATCACAAAATGTTTCGCTTTGTTGATCCACTGTCGGATTGGGTGCCTCCCCAAACCGTCGCCACCTCTCACGGTCTCTCCATGCCACAATACCAGCTCCTGCACACGAGCCCATCTCTTCGTCGTCGTCGTCATCATCGCTCCATCTCCGCGGTGGATGTGCTCTCGGGCGTGTTATCGTGATCACAAACGCCTTGCGTGGTTCCCGTGTCCCCCCCCCCCATGATAGGCTTTGGTGTGTCCGCAGGTGTCCAAAAAGAGGGCCACGGATTCATTGTGAATGTTTACAACAACGGATAATAAGCAGCATGACCCAATCAATGGCACGGGTCCCAGAGGACGTCAACCAAAGGGAGATGGAGCGATGACTCTAGCTCGCGTGTGCAGGTAGATCGTTGCAACGCAGGATTTTGAGAGACGGCGGCGGCGTTGGGAGGCCATCGCCCAGCAGTGTATCGAGAATGTCTGTTATTGATATGTTGAAGCTGCGCAAAATATCGCAAGCTAAGCAAAAAAAGTGCCTGGACCACCATCGTGTATGGAAGGTTGACCCAGCCATGCACGAACAGGTTGTTTGTTATGCTGCAGCGCTACCTGGCGGCCATGAGTGGGCAGTGCACCAACATACTTTGTTGCGCTGTGCTTCCTCTATACTTGCCACAGCAAGACCCTCATCCAGCAGTGGATTTACCTTGGCCAATGATGAGATAAAGGCCTTCATTATCTCCATCACAGCCCACACCGCCACCACTACCTTCATCATCACATACGTCTGTGGAAGCAGGCACCTTGCTATATTATACATCCTGTTACTGCCATTGTTACACGGGAGTCGTTCGTCTCGCTGTGCATGCAAATATAGATTTTATTTCCAGCGCTACGCGAAGGTTACGCGGGTCACAACTTATCTGGGACACCGCCGTCTTCCTTCCCACACCACAGCTCTTGTTGCCGGGCTGAATCGGCGTGGGTGGAGACACCAGCACACGTGGTGATGTCTCCACAGATATCGGAATTCTGGGGTGGGGTGGAACAACGTTTTGCCAGGCGAGGGTCACGGCCACCGTGAGCGTCGTGGTTTGTGCGGACAACTGCAAAATGTTTTGACGTGGAACAATAAAAGGTTCACTTCAGTCTGGAAATCTGTAAAATATGTCCCTGTTCTCCACCACAACTGTCTGGGTGGAGAGGGCCAGGGTCAACGGGTTTGGGTGTTGGTGTACCCCCATAAAATATAATGTACGAGAAATTAAACTCTGGATATGGTGACGAGATACCCACAACAACAATTTGGACACAAATCCTGGTCTCATTGCATCCGCCCCTTACCTCCCTTCGACGAGGTGACAGGGGTAGGTGCTGATGATGCTGATGACAGGACCTTGAGACAGAGGTGGGACAAAGTCATTGTTATGCAAGTCCAAGTCGAGTCTGAAGTCATCAAATTCATGACTCGAGTCTGACTCGAGTCCAAGTCACATGACTCGAGTCCACACCTCAGAGGTGGGACAAAGTCATTGTTATGCAAGTCCAAGTCGAGTCTGAAGTCATCAAATTCATGACTCGAGTCTGACTCGAGTCCAAGTCACATGACTCGAGTCCACACCTCTGCCTTGAGATACTGTAGACGGTAGCTGGGCACTGCGCCAGGAGCCAATCTGTCACGGAAGACGAAGTGGCGAGCAACGGCGCAGAGGCATCCAGGGTAGCACCACCCGAGCGATGGAACGATGAGATTTAGCCGATGTGCAAGAGTTAGGAGGATAGCGACATCGTGTGACTGCGAGAGATAGCGACGGTTTGAGGAGGCCTTTATCCCGCAGCGGATAGACCATTGCTGATGAAGACAATGATAAGTGCTTCACACAAAATCTCCAGTGTGGCGCAAGATGAAGTGAGAGCGAAGAATTGGTAAGTGGAGGACTCTTTTTAGGAATAGCAGGGGGGGGGGGCATCTTCTCCGCCACTCCATCCCAGGATAGGAGCGCAGGTTGCACGAGGTAGGAGAAAGCGCGGTTGCAAACGCCTTGCGTTTTGTGTTGCATGCCAGGCACGTAGCGAGCAGCAGCAGCACGGCGTAAGACAAGCTGATGAAGTGCCTTTCAAGCAGATTTAATGCTATATCTGGGATCGCTTTCTAACATCGGACCTGATGGCGGAGAGGGGTTTGGGTGAAAGTGGGTCAATGTATAGAATGAAGAGGATGATGTGGAGGAGGGGTCCTATGGGGGCAGATATGGAGGGGGCAGGTGAGAGACAGCGTGGGAAGGGCAATGGAGGAGTGAGTTGTTGAGGCAATTGGAGAGGTGCGCAGCGGTGCAGCTGAACCAGAGCGACACGTGCCAGAGGGGCACCGGCGCTGGGCTACGAGGAGGGGAGAGGCAACATTGGACAGGGGGCACCGATTCATTCCTTGCACCAGGGTCCACGCCAACCATGCTACGCCACGTGAGGGTGTTGACCGTGCAACAGTTGAAGGATCTCGCAAATGAATTCATCAATGATGAGCTGTGGTGGCATCGATGGTATTGGCCGTGATGGTGTTGACCTTGACACCATTCCCTGCATTTCTTCATCAGACGTTGCCCGTCCCCAGAGCCATCGTAACAAGAAGTGGGTCGCGTGGAGACGGGAAGGGGCCGAAAGACAGAGACACAGGGCCAAACACAAAGACAGACAGCCATAGAGGGAAACATACAGACAGACATGGAGAGAGATCCTGGAGACAGATACATGGAGTGAAACCAGAGGGACACGGAGAGAGACACATAGAGAGCCACAGAAGGATAGATTGAGAGAGATAGGGAGAGGCAGGCAAAGACAAACACAGAGTTATACAGAGAGCCACATAAATAGACAGAGGCGGACAGAGAGGCAGAGAGACTGGCGCAGATACATTTTGGGTTGGAAGTGAGTACACTGTTCACGTGCACGTGTCGCACACACAAAGAGACAGACGGAGACACGGGGCAGTGATAAAGTGACACGGAGAAACACACAGAGGCACACAGAGAGCCACAGTGGGAGACAGACACATCATTTCCCCCCCCCCCTCTGAAGGAAGGAGGCCCCTGTGCACGTATGCCACCGCTTCTCTCCGTCTCTCGTTCTCTTGTCCCTCTGCGACTCACCCCCTCCTCGTATCCATCCACCATCGCAGAGCCTCCCTCCACCCCTTACTCCTGGGGGAGGTGCGGATGGAGCTGGAAGCTTGCCCCCGTCGCCTCCTCCCCGTCACCCGAGGCTATTTTTAGCCGCTGCTGCCGCCGCTGTTCCTGATGTCGTAGAGGCCACCCGATTTGTAAATCCTCAAAGTGGCCCGAGCAGATGCAACGAAAAACAAATTGGCTGTCAAATTAGAGAGCCGAGCGCTGTTAGCATGAGCGCGCGCGCACGCGCGTGTCGTGCACAGGTTGGTGTGTGTCTGTGTGTGCATATTGTGGGAGCGGTGGCGTAGTGGTTAGCGCACTTGCGCTACGAACACGACGAGCCGAGTTCGATTTCCGTTCACGGCCAACATTCGTGGCGAATATATAAAACCGGTCTCTCCTAGGTCGACTCCGCCTTAAATGAGTTCTGCACCTGGTGCGGTGTGTAAACATCAGCACTGGGGAAACAAAGGCGGGTGGCGTAGTGTTGGGTGACCTCGTGTACCGTGCCGCCTTCATAGGTTCTCGCGAACGACACTTGCCCCTACAGTCTGTGGAGGCTACAATTGGGACCTTTAGCTTTGTCCGTATATGCGTAAAGTTGTGACGTTATTGTGAGCGCCCTGTGGTATGAACCCAGAAATCTGGATTCGAGCTCCAACCTGGGCCAAAATCAGTGGTAAATATCCTCATCGACTTCCCATCGATTATGTTTTATTAACTTCATCAAACCGCAATTTATTCTTTAAAACGAATGGGTGCCCTGGAAACCTGCAGTGCCGTTCAAATGCAGCGTGCTTAGAACAAATGTTAACACCTATAAGGCACTGTAGTTTGTAATGAAGAAAAAAAGAATGGATAATACACTGTAACATGATAACAAATGTAATGTTAATAGCTTCAAAAAGTCTCCACTTGTTCGCCATCGTTGTCAACGCGTGCCGGGAATCATCTCCAGGTGGTCTCCAGAGCCCAGAGGCACATGCTCGGGGCACTGTTGCAAATTTGCAGAAGTGTTAAAACATCTTCTTTGAATCACTTTGTATAGTCATCATCGGCCATGATTTATTCACTGCTGGATGAAGGCTCTTACCCAACGCGCTCACCATCCCTCACGATCTCACACCGATGTAGCTCCTCCACGCGAGCTGAATGTGCCGTCGTTCCGTCTCCACCGTGGCCGTCCCATCGGCCCACCGAGTCCGCTGTCGCCCATGCGCTTGGGGCGATCGTCGTCCTGAAGTCCGACCACGGATGTCCCCCACCCCCCC